CTAAAGTTGACTAAAAAGAGGAATAAAAAAATCGTAATGCCTTAATTAAAAAATTAGGAAAACTCTAACCTTTAGGGACGTAAATAATGTCCCTGAATTCTTTGTGAATGAATAATGTATCGCAAATAATTAAATGTTCTTCTTTAAAATACAGGGTGCATACATCTGGACACTTCTATCCCCAGAAACTCCTAACAAAAGCTGATGTCTTTATTTTGAAGCTTATTTGATGCTTATTTGATTTGAAAAACTTTATCCAAAACTAGTCAACGAAATTTTGTCTTTTATTTCGTCTGTAACAGTGCGTATCTGTGCGTTCATTCATTTACACACACACACAGAGAGAAACATGATTCACAGTATGCTATTTTTCCGTTTACAGACACTAACGTTATTCTATATCGCGATTAGAACAAAGCACAGCCATAAAACACTTACAGTTCTCAGCTGAATCTGTTGCTCCTCCTCGAAGTGAAAATAAACCAGCACTTCTGTATTAAATGTCCCAGGATTATTCCTCATAGCCGTGCAAGACGAATCTTAATCTGACTAAAAAATATAGTGCGTTTACAGCATTTGCCTGGGGGCGTTTATCTATTTTGCAAATGGCCTCAACACATTATCTTATGAATAGCGCGCTCTGCGAGTGGGTGTGAACAAATTAACGATAATGAGCTGAGACAGGAGAAACTGTACTTCTCTTTAGTTTCAGACAGATTACATTGCAGGAGAATATTTGTTTTAAATGTGAATTGTTTTATTTAAAAGTAGAAATTTAAAGCGTTCTTTAGACGTATGTTTCATGTTTGTGTGATAAGTATTAGCGGAGTTTCCGTTCATTTTCAGAAAGATTTTTGCGGAGACAGAGTGAGCTGAAAGCGCACCCTGTTTATTTTATTTATTTAAAAAAACACAAGGTTTTGATGTTAATGTGAGTGTACACAAAAAAAGAAGACCCTCTATAGTTTATAATCATGTATTGATTTTATTTATATGACCATAAATGACGGAGTATTTTAAGTCTATGTTGCTGCTATGTGAAAAAAAAAAACAGCAAAACGCACGGGCGCGTTCTTGGTCCCCAGAGGGTTAAGTAGCACCAAATCATTGCTGGTCTAGAAGTAAGAACCGCTTATGTCAGCGGCTGGGGGCGGGGTTACCGTGGCCAACAAGACTAACAGAAATTGTTGAATTAGCAGCTAATCGAGCTAATAGCAGCACGATTGTAATCTCCGTTTATGCAAGTTACGGCGAGCTGCACGAATGCGTTGTATTCGCCGTGTTTGGATGCCGATGTACATTAGGTTCGCAAAGCCATGAGCATCAATAGTAATGCAACGGCCGCCATTGTTGATAGAAGGCTTGTTCGAGACGCATCGGAGCGGCGCGGACCGATCGGAGCTGCGGGAGTGTGTGGAGAGCATACGACTCCTTGTGCTTTTCGATCGCGTTTGCAGTGCTTTGATGTCATGCGCCAATCGGTCTGCGAGAAGCCGATGCATCTCGAACAAGCCTGGTGTGTTTGGGTTTGGCTCTGCCGCGCTAGCGTTGCTGGGCAACATGAGATGTATACAGTGACGTAAGACCTGGCTCTGTGCTGGCTCTTTAGCCTGTGGAAAAGCAAACCGGTTCTTTGGAGGCTCATCAGTCGAACCAACTCCGAACCGACACTAGCTCTAGCTCTGAACCAGCCCCTGGTTCTTGTTGGTGGAATAGGGGTAAATGAGGTCTTCACAGGGGATTGTCTAGTAAGGCAAGTCAGCAGTGACTGCGCGCACGCACTTCTCGTAAGCTGCGCGCCCATGGCGACCAAGTCAATTTCCATACCGAGAAAAGAGATCCTCTGCACGGGGCAAAGTTTGTTCTTTTCCCAGTTGACCCGAAGGCCCAGACGAGCTAGGTACCGGAGCACTAGGTCCCTGTGTTCGCAAACCTGGTCTCGAGAGTGAGCTAGAAACAGCCAGTCATCGAGAGGGAACGGTCTGTATCGAGGAAGAAAGGAGACATGGAAGTAGGCGTCCTTCAGTTCGATCGCTGCAAACCAATCCTGTGGCCGCACACATTCGAAAAATGTGTTTGGCTGTGAGCATCTTGAACGGAAGCCTTTTTAGAAGGGAACGGTTCAAGACGTGCAGGTCCAGGATTGGTCGAACCCACCGGTTTTTTTGGGTACAATGAGGTCGGGCTGAAGAAGCCAGACCTCATTTCGGCTGGAGGGGTGGTCTCGATCGTACCCTTCGCCAGTAGGCAAAGCCGAGCCTGATGATTCTCGTGAGCCAGCGTGACAGATTGGAAGCTCCAAAACTGAACCAGCGGGGTAATGTGAACCACAGACGTACCCACGATGGGGCAGCGAGGCAGAATGACCGGCCCAGACGTGGGAGGCGGAGCATCCCGATGTGGGGGCACGGTCATATACCGCATCCTGACAGACGAGGCCAGGGAAGGCCAGCGTTCCACGGGGGCCTGCTCTGTCTGGGGTCTGGCGACAGAGGGGGACGAGAGTGGCGAGGCTCGTAAGCGGCGCACACTGCCACCCTGCCTGCTCAGAGATGGGATGTCAGTTCTTTGGAGAAGAGGTTCTCCACCGGGGGAAGGAGTGGCCCTGCAACCACTTCCTGAAAGAACTGCAACCCACCTCTGAGCTGCCCGTAATAGGAGCGCCGTATCGCCTGGCATTCGGCTGGCTGCGGGACTGGTACGGGCAGGGGCGCCTTCCGGCGACCACCTCCACGGCGTGACGCTGCTGGGGCCGGAAGTAGCAGTACGGCGCGTTCGGCGGCAAGCGGACTGAGGCGTCTGAGCTGGCGGCTGGGTGGCAGCAGCTGGCCGTGGGGTCAGAACATGTTTGGTAGCCTCAGTCTGCTTCTGGGCGGCCGAGAACTGTTGGGCAGAGTCCTCGACCGCACCACCGAAGAGGCCAGCCTGGGATATGGGGGAGTTGAGGAAGCGGGTTCGCTCAGCCTCGCGCATATCAACCAGATTAAGCCAGAGATCTCTGACCACGCATGTGGACATCACCTGACCCAGGGAGCGAGTTACGCCATGCAAATTCCGCAGACCCATGGCATTTCCTTGCCATTGGCTCGTTTTATTTCTTTCGAAGATGATAGGCTTCTAAGCGAACCCCATTTCGTCGTCGTTTCGACGTAACTCGAAGTGACTACGAAAGGGAACTAAGATAATCCAATACACCAAAACTCAACGAAATAGCATGCTAAGCACCAGCGCCGCCGCTCCCACCACGCGCATCACGCGCTGTGCGTAGGGCACCAAGTGCTGAGGGGGCACCAAAAATAGCCTAATGAAAAACCAATCATCAAACTTCTTGTTATAATCCGATTCAGCGCGTTCTTCCTCTTCATTCCGCAGCGGCGCCGAGCATAGACAGAGAGCACGTCAGAAACACAGGACAGGGTGTGTGTGTGTTCATGTGTGTGTTCATCTGAGCCTAATTGGTCTGTCACTGCTCGTCAATGTCAGAATATTTGAGATGACCAATCAAATCAAAGTAGGCGGGCTTTATGTTCACAGACGCTGAGCGCGAATTTTAACAGTGCAACTCGACGCTTCAGTGTACGGTCAAGTGCGAGAGAAGATGTAAGTAGCTAAACTTAACTTTATTTGACAGTTTTTTTTAGGTCATAAATGTTAAACGAATGACAAAAAATAATTAGGCAAACTAATATAGTTTTGTCTAATTTCGCCATTTTGAACTGAAAATAGGCCTATGTAACATGTAGCCTAGTGTAATAGTTCAGGCTACTGTCATTGTGAGGGGACAAGAAACATGAACAAAGCCGTTTTCATCATGTTAGGCACAGGATTTATAATGAATGTGTACATATTGAGAATAAAAGGAATTTTTGGTGCCCTAAGCATAAAGGAATTATGCTTAGGGCACCAAAATGGCTAGCAGCGGCACTGCTAAGCACAAACAATAATGGACAATGAACAGAGTGAAAGATACAGGCTACACGTGATAACGAACTCAATTAAAAACGCTAATTAGTCATATAATGAATAACCATAGAAACAAATGACAAACAGGAACATAATAACCCTGTTATGACACACTCAGTGCAGTATTGTGTCCTAACTTTCATTTTCAGAGAAGTGAAATACATTTTTGTGAATATTGCTTAATGGAAACCATCCCCAACCTTTTTCCTGTAAATATATTTATATGCTTTTCATAGTGATACATTTGACCAGACAATAGATCTTCTGTGTCACAATACACAAAAATGCAGCCTGCAAGTTACACCTACATTTTTGTCTATTGTGAAACGGAAAACAAAAATTAATGACACAAAGAGGGTGGGATTTTACACCCATTTTCTTAACAAATAAAAGGTGTGCTGCCTGATTATTGAATACAGCACAGCATCTGCCTGTTAGCAGAACGGTAAGATAATTAATGCATTTCACTGTCTAATACAAGTACATTTATTATTTAACTAGTGTTTCAAATACATTAATAGGTAATACATTTTTAAGTTTTAAATAAATGTAATTTTTAAATGTTTTTGTCATTTTAGCTATAATTATGTTATTTTATTGTTATTCATGTTGTAAAGCGCATACTTGGAAGGGTGTAGGTTTGCTTTGGAAGTTAGTCATGGAATATTACAAGGAGACAGAAGACAGTCTTGGCTTATAATAAAAAAGAAAAAAAAATTGATGACTTTTGAAAAATGTGTGCATAAATGACATATCAAAAATAAAAAGATTTCTGCTCATAAATCATTCTGACTGTACAACCATTGTATCCTTAGAAAGCAATCCTTTGAGAGTTTACTGGTCTAGACTGTTAATACATAAAACATAAAAACAACAACAACAAAAGATAGAGCTCATATGTGGCTGTGATAAATAAACCTAAAAACCTTATCTAAGACCATGTCAAAGTGATTTCATCTCTATTTCTGGTTCTTTTGTTCTCCCTCAGCAATTATTTGTCTTTATATACCCTGATCTCCTTCTCCGTGGCACTGGAATAAGGACTCGCAGGGATTCTCTTAACTTATTAACCATTTTGAAACACTCCTCACACAAATATCCCCATTCTAATTGGACAGAAAAAGGAAAAATAAAACTGATAATGAACACCATTCCTTCATTCGATCCCAGCTCCGAACAGAGGGATGCAACCGCAATTCCAACTTACCTCAGAGATTCACTATCATGCCTCGACGTTGTGTGGTCTGATATGTTTGAGACTGGAGACTCAGCGATTGACTCTATGAAGCATGAGACTGATTTTCTTAAAGGAGCCCCTCCACAGTGGCAGAGCTTCAGCACACCAGAGAACCCACCATTTGTAGAAAGGGATTGCTTTAAAGATTTAATTCAGTTAATTGAGGGGAAAAAAAGGAAAAGATGTCTGATCACGGAAGTTTCTTTACCATACCAGCCTGGCAGTGGAGGCTCAACCCTCGCCATGCAGGTGCTTTGGCATTTCCACAAAGACCTCAGATGTGCCAAAGTGATCGAGTCTGATTTAGACGATAAGAAGCTGCCGAAACAAGTGGTGAACCTTTTTCTCCTGTCTAATGAACAACACGCAAAACACGATCAGAAAACCGTGCTGCTTTTGCTAGACACCAAGGAAAACTCAAACAATGATCAGCCAATCAAGAATTCTCTCTGGGAAAACCTGATTGATGAAATGCGCGAGAGGGACGTCAGTACAGACACTCCAGCTGTGATCGTTTTACACTGCAGAACTACAAGTGTTCGAGCGACAGGCAATGTGGAGATTACAATGATGCTCTCTCCAAGAGAGAAAGAGAGGTTTGATAAAAAAAAACTGGAGCTGAATGAGAAATACAAGACAAAGTCAGAGACCTTCCATGCCTTCAACATAATGCAGGGAGGTTTCCGGAAGGAGGACGCTGAGAAACTGATCACAGCAAAAATGGTGAAATATGTTCAAAAGAATCCAAAGTCCAAAAGCACAAGACTTCTCAGCTTTTTGGCTTTGATAAACTCATACGTCCCAGGCTCACACTTGTCGAAGCTTTTGTGCGAGGAATTCACTGCACAAACAGACCGTCCCTCCGATGAGGAAAACGTCCCACTGGAAACGATAATGAAGCCTTTCATGAATCTCATAGTCATATTCTCAGAAGGAAAACCCAAAACCGACTGCATACGCATGGCACATCCAATGATTGCGGATGCATGTGTAAATATGCTCACCAAGCTCAAACTGACAAGATTTAACATCGCTTCTGACTTCTTGCAAAACATGGTGAAAGGAAAGGAGAGTGACTACATGCGAATTTGCAAGAGAATGTTAACCATAAGGGTCGACCCAGAAAAATACAGGTTTTCCAAACTGATTCTTGACCTCTTGATTATGGATCACAGGGAATGCATTTGTTTGTTGGAGCTGGGTTCAGGTTTGTTCAGCAATGACCCTTTTTATCCTCAAGCACTTGCACGTTTGTATTACATTGAGGTAAAAGAAACAAACAAATTTGATGAGGCAGAAAGCTGGGCAAAAAAGGCCATTAACAGAGCGCCCAAAAAATCGTATATCATGGATACACTCGGGCAAGTTCACAAAAGCCACTTGCGGACCATTCTGAACAAAAACACATACACACACACAGACACGGTTTTGGACATCGCAAAGTCTGCCATCAAAGCGTTTAAAGAGGAAGAAAAAGCAGCTGAAGACGAGTCAGAAGACAACTCCAGTTTCAATAACAGGGGCTACTTCGGATGTCTCCAGGTTTGCAAGTACATTTATGATTTAAGTGCGAAAAACCCTCTCGAACAAAAATACAGTAGATTCATCAGTGGTCTCAGAGGTGGCGTTGAGAAGAGATATGATTTCTTTGAATGGTATCTGGCATTCTCAAGACCAAGGATCAATAAACATGACCCGGAGAACATTCATGATGACATTGAAGAGTGCTACAAGCGATACTTTGCACATGAATCGCAGACTCATGAAGACACCCTGCATGAGAAACAAATGAAGTCTTTTGCAGGACTACTGCATTTCCCCAAATCTGATATTAGTGTGCTTACACGAAATCACAGTGCATTTCAAAATCCACAATCTGATGACGAAACCCAGAACATTCTCTACGTTTCTGCCAACATCATCCTGAGTGTGTTTGATGAGTCTGAGAAAATAGAGGAGCTCCAGGCCAGTTTACAGAAACTCTGGCTGAGCAAAGAAGAAGGCAGAGACCCCGAGTTTTACCTCTTGATTCTTTTGCTCTTTTGGTTTGATGAAGCGCAGCCAAGAATCCCAAACCCTCCAGACCTGATCAAATGTGTCCGATATATGCGTGATTCATATGAGAAGAACTATCAGAAATACCTCCGCGGTCGCTACCTGGTGCCTTTGCTCTTCTTTGGGGAAGGGACTGGTTTGCAGAGACTGGTTCACAGCTCAAAACTACATCCGGATGATTCTCCTGACGGGTTGGAGCTCCTATTAGAAAAAGGAGAAGTTAATCGTCTCCAGCGGATCAGCGGGAAGGTCGAGAAGAATCAAAAAGTGTTTGCTATTAGAGACGGGAAACAGATTCAAGTCACTCCTCACAAACCGGCCAGTGTGTACAAACAAGGCCAGGTGTCTTTCTACCTCGGCTTTAATATCAGAGGACCTGTTGCCTTCAACATCAGATATACGCACTGAAGTAAAGTATCAGATGCTGTAAGTAAAGCATGCTTCATATTTAAGACTATTAAATGTTTCATATTTGCAAAGCATTTGTCGGTAATGAAGTTTGATTGTGTCCGAAATGTCTCAGTGAAAGATTTTGTTCCCTTTTCTCTGCAGAGTTCATGGATTATCACATAAACACTGTCATTCAGAGTGAAAAATCATCTACATTATTTTTGCATTGACCCTGGAAATGCTCAACAGTGACTAAAGACTAAATGAGAGAGAGAGAGAGAGAGAGAGAGAGAGAGAGAGAGAGAGAGAGAGAGAGAGAGAGAGAGAGAAACTTTCCTCTCAGCCTAATGTGAAAAAAGACTGTACAATAATGATGCAACATTTACCAAATCATGTTTATGTAATATTCAGTATGATAGTTATATTTGAATTGTATGATTTAACTGCTCGATGGGGCGAATTATTCCCTGAACTCAAATATCACAAATCTTGTCTTGAGATCTTTTAGAAAAAAATCACCAGTTTATGTAAACTATGATACATAATTTAGACATTTTAGAGCATTTAAAAAATATATTAGTTATTATGCTGGTGGTGGGTCGGTAGGTTCAAACTATTTTAATTGTTTTGACCTCTAAATATTTTGTCAGTAAGAAGAAAATTCTCAGCATAGACATTTGAGATGCATTTGTTATTCGTTGCAGTGTGTCTATACATGTATTCCAATAAAAGTAATATTACAGTATCACTTGCTGTGCACATATACTGTTAATATGTTTCTCTGCATGCAGAATAGAAGAGTAAAAATAATTACATAGGAAATATTATGTCTCATGGTCATTAGATCAGCATTGTTCATTATTTATGTTATCCGCTGTTCTTGATATTCAACTGGACTCAAATGCTGGTTTGATACCCCAGATCACCGCAAAAGTGTTCATGTTTATTTTATTATGATTGTAAAACATTTCACCGTGGCTGAATACCATGAACAAAAATCAACAGGCTAAAGAACACTTGCACAAGGATTTAAAATACCATAGCAAAAACCACCTAGCCTAGCTAATATGAATTTCAAGCATTATTAAAGACAAGTAAACCCAGTAATTAAAAAAGAACAAATAAACAAATTAGCAATCACACAAATAAACACCACTGAACAAAATAAACTGTCCAATAAACACAGTGTTTTAAGATTTTCAGATATTCAGGCACATAAACTGTAATCAAATGTAAAACAACACTGCACTTTATAAATAAAATATACATTACAAAATATTGTTACAAAAAAGTTACAGTATTCAGTCGAGAACAGCAAGTGAATTTTCTCTTTGTCTTTTGTTGTTTGATTAGTGTTATTATAGAGAAGGCCGCAGGAATATTAGGCTACTGTCACTTTAAGAGCGAATGCACGGATCCAATATACTGATACTGTTACACATGCGTTTACTTTCTCAACTGTTCACCTTCCCTTAAGACATAACCAACTGTGTTTACGAGGATATTTTGACACATTTTTGTGTGTATTTGTCCGTTCAAGTAGCCTGGTTAAAACCAGACCATTCTCAGTTGTAACTGAGTTATGGTCTGGCAAAGCGTCATAGACAAATCATTTCCAGAGGGGCGTCACCAACGGACGTCGCGGATAGACCTAAACCCAATCAGAGCGATGAAGGAGATGACGTATGCAGAGCGGCGGAGAAACATCTCCGAGTGTTGTTCTTTGCTCGGTTTTTAACTAAAAGGAAACGTTCAAATCTCTTAAAACAGACGCGATCGCTGATTGGAACGAGTGATGTTCGACGGCGGCATCCATCTCTGTAATGTAGGCTACAAAATCTGCTTCAAAATCCCAGCGCTGTCGTCATCGTGTAAAGCCCGCCCCAACGCTTCTGATTGGTGCCTCGATTTCGGCGGATTGGAAATGGGCTTGAATGAGCTCTTTGCCAGACTAACTTTCAGAGCAAATCTAAATTTGCCGGAAGTTGTCTGGGTTTTCCCAGGCTACCGTTCAAGTGCAAAAAGACGCGGAAGAGCACTCAGTTTAGTATCGCGCACTAGTGATGCACGGGTCGGCTTTTTTTTCCAACTAGGCATTGTAATGTAAATGAAAACAGCCTTTATTTCAGCCTGAAAGTGCTTGGAAACATCGCCCTGTAAACTTGCAACAACAGATGATTATGAATATGAACCATAAAATCCAATCGGGTCATATTATTAAGATAATGATAAACATTTTCAACATTTACAAAGCAGCGTTTATATTCATCTAATAGGCTAAACAATTTTTTTATTTCTTAGACCCCCCACAAATATGTCTTGACATGCTGGAAGTGCCGTTTTGTGGCTCTCCTGTTTGTAGCCTATATTTGTTCACTTCATGTTGCCGATTCTGTCTCCTGCTGCAGCTATTTCTGAGAACCGGTCCCAACATTAGATTTAGCAGCCTGACCTTTTTTTTCTTTTAATTATGTAAATTCCCGACCTCAATTTCTCCCGCACCTCGTCTTCCATCTTCACTTTTATTTCTCCGCTCTTGTTGTCGTGGCTGAGGCGGGAGCTTGGCGCGCCGCTTTCGTGACGTGTCACTGTCACGTGACGCCCAAAAGTTTGGGGAAATCACGCAAGTTACGTTGCTACGGCATTCGTATTGTAACCTTATCAAATGATCCTAATAAAATATGAAAATAGATATTCCCAAATATTAAGTATCAAGTATCCGATTCTGCCCTTAAGTATCCAGAATTGGAATCGATTTTCGATTACCAACCCTCGTTGTGAGTCCTGAAAATGTATGGTTATAGAATGCCGTTGTCAGTCCCGTAAATAACTGAACTGTGTGTGAACAAAACCATATTAAGGACTCAAATCCAGGACTGACACCTGTATTCTGCTGCTGTGTGAACGTGGCCTTAACATTTTTGCTGATGAGAGGAAACTAATATCCTTTTATATCAAGAATTTCATGTAGCCTACAGTTGAGTCATGTAGCCTATGTGATGTTACAGTAAGTAATATTTAACTTAACTTGAGACATAATATGGAATGGTAATCAAATGTATTTCATTAAAATATGTGTTGATCAATGAGCAATGATGCCGAAGATAACAAGTTGCCTAATATTTTACTTGTTCATTAAATTGACATGACAAATAAAACATATATAGTTTGTGCTGCTATACTAGCTGTGAATTTGAACTCAAATAGATCAGATTTTGGTCCACTACATTAGTCCATTCATGAGTGAATTATAGGCTATTTGAACTACTAACAACTCAATTTCTATGAGTAACTTTATGCTACAAATTCAGTTCCCTATAACTCAATGTAGTCTGTTGGTTGAACATAATTTCATTAGAAGTTTGTCATAACTCAAAAAGATTGATGCAGACTTGCGCCAAATGTAGCCAAAACATGTCATTCCAAACCTGAGGGGGTTTCTTTGTTCTTATTTACACAAAGGAAGATATTTTGAAGAATGTTTGTAACCAAACAGTTGATGAGTCCTATTGACTTCCCAGCAGCAACATAGTGTCGGCCCAGATCCGGGCCACATCCGGTATGGATTCAACTCGTACCAGATCTGGGCCGACACTGTGTTGTTGTCTGTTCCATATGTGACATTTTTTTTTGCATAAGGCTCCGTTTTTGGAATTAAAACAAGCTGTATTAAAAATTACCAGTATAATAATCTGAAAAACAAACCTGTGCATTACAGGGAATAATATTTTGAATACTTTACAGCTGGATTGATACCTCTAGGTCAAACATTGTTGTAGTTTAATGGATTTACACACATTTAAAGTTTAAATATTATTATAAAACATATGAAATGCTAATTCCAAAAACGGAGCTTTGTGCAATAAAAGGGATATTTATCTATTTTCGACATTTTACTATTAGTTTGATATCATCATGCCAAATGGTCTAAATGTTTAATTGAATTAAATAATATGTTCTTTAAATTAAGGCTTGTGTTACCAAGGTAATTTGTTTATGTATATCTGAGTTGGTTTGGGCTGAAAACTGTGAATGAGTCTGCCTGGATCTGCAGTCTTGTGTTTGCAGCTTTCTGCCCTCAGAAGTGAATCACGTCCTCGTGTTGTTGTACTACCGCCTGTGTCCGGCAGGAGGTGCTCATACACCCCTCACTGTTAATATGACACAAATAAATATATCATGCATTTATAATTAAGTTTTTAAAATATTATTTGTGTGTGTGTGTGCGCGCGCGTGCGTGCGTGCGTGCGTTGGTGTGTGTGTGTGTGTGTGTAAATGAATAACATAACTATATTTCATGAAAATTAATGATCTTTTATCATTTTGTTGCTAACACATGTCCTAAACCTAATCTTGCAATTGATCATGCTTAAGTCACACAGACTTCAACATTCAGAATGCAAAACACAACAATGGTAACAATTATATTTTATTTAAAGTAAATTACCAAGTTCTCTCTACAGTTATTTGTTAGTTACTAGAACTCCTGTGTAAGTGAACTATACTAAGCATTTGTCAGTAGCACATAGCCTACTATTCCTGTTTCACTTTACTTGTTTTTTAAGGCAATCGGTTTGCATGTTTTTTTTTTAAGTAGGCCTAAGTATATTAGATTTTACAGTGTATATTTGTAATGTATATTTTATTTATAAAGTGCAGTGTTATTTTACATTTGATTACAGTTTATGTGCCTGATATCTGAAAATCTTAAAACACTGTTTATTGGACGGTTTATTTTGTTCAGTGGTGTTTATTTGTGCGATTGCTAATTTGTTTATTTGTTCTTTTTTAATTACTGAGTGTTTAATTGTCTTTAATAATGCTTGACATTCATATTAGTGTTTTTGCAATGGTATTTTAAATCCTTGTGTAAGTGTTCTTTAGCCTGTTGATTTTTGTTCATGGAATCCGGTTGTCACGATTAGCCACGCACTCCCTGGGTGATTACGGACTCCATTTCCCATCATGCATCTCCCTGGACTGATTACACACACACCTGCACTGCGCTGATTACACACAGCCACACTCACGCGCAACACTCTGGGGCGAAGTCTTGTTTTGCTGCTGCGAAC